TTCTCTTAGCCAAGGTGGAAGACCTGTTGCTTTCTTTTCAAGAACCTTATCAAAAATTGAAAGAAATCATTCATCTGTGGAAAAAGAGGCTTATGCAATAGTGGAAGCTCTTAGAAAATGGAGACATTTCTTGATAGGTAAACATTGTCGACTTATAACTGATCAAAGTCTGTCTCTTTTATGTTCAATATGCGCCACACTAGTAAGATACAAAATGAGAAGATTATCAGATGGCGCCTTGAATTATCATGCTACAGTTTCGATATTCAGTACCGACCAGGAGTTGAGAATGTAGTGCCAGATACTTTTTCACGAGTGAGCTGTTCAATAAATCCTCGACCAAGTCTATTTAAACTTCATCAATCCTTGTGTCATCCAGGAATCACCAGAATGGTCCATTGGATAAAGACACGTAACTTACCATATACTATTGATGAAGTCCGTGAAATGACCAATCGCTGTCCTATCTGTGCAGAAATAAAATCAAAGATTTTGAAAACTCAAGGGAGATTAATTAAAGCTACTTCGCCTTTTGAAAGATTGTCTCAGGATTTTAAAGGACCGCTTTCATCTAAATCTCATAACAAATATATCCTAACAATTGTTGACGAATATTCATTCTCGATTCCCCTTTGTATATCCATGTCAAGATGTCTCAGCGGAAACTGTTGTGAAGTGTCTTACAAACTTATTCTCTTTATTTGGAATGCCTAGTTATATCCATTCAGATCAAGGGGGGCATTTATGTCTCAAGAAGTCAAAACATTTCTCCATTCACAAGGAATACCTACAAGCCGAACAACATCTTATAATCCTGAAGGCAATGGCCAGACAGAAAGATATAATGGAATTATATGGAAAACTATTTCTCTTGCCTTAAAATCTAAACATTTAAAAACTGAACAGTGGGAAGAAGTAGTTGAGATAGCTCTTCATTCAATTCGTTCTCTTTTGTGTACATCTACAAACAGTACCCCTTATGAGCGAATGTTTCATCATATAAAAAATATTTATAAAAAAAATGTGAGGCAGTCCAAATAGGAACCCCTCGTTGAAGAAGTACAGCTAATTGAACCAAATCCAAACTATGCTGTTGTTAGACGTGAAGATGGTAAAGAAACAACAGTAGTTTTAAGACAACTTGCACCACGAGGAGATGTATCTCTACTGGACTGTGTTAGTGGATCGGAATCTGCGGTTTCTAATGAACAGTTTATCCAAGATCCACCAAGCCCTAGATTGAGAATATGTGAGGAAAATTCAAAATATTTCTCCTGTTAACGTTCTGGAAGATCAAGATAATATTGAAAGTGTTTTAAGGGAAGAAAATAAAGACAGTCTTATTAGAAGAGGTACCAGGGAAAGAAACACTCCTGCTTACCTTAAAAACTTTGTTCAAAAATAAAGTTGGGGTGAATGTCCTGTGGTCTGTGAACTGTGTTTGTCATTTGGCATCTTAGTTTTAGTTAATGTCATATGTAATTGTCATGTCATTCATTCAAACAAAACAATGCTAATTTCTTGTATATTAAACCCTAGTTTATAAAGGTTTTGCATTTCATTACAATAGGTATTGGTTTAATATGTATTTTCTGTTTTCTAAATAGTTTTTTTCTGTTTCAAAATCAATACCTACTGCTGACTTAGATGTTCAGATATTCCCATATTTCTTGTTTGGTGTTTATATCCCTTAGTAGTTTATTAACATATCTTATAGAATTAGAAAGTCTGTGTATTTTTTAAATTTTAACTGTGGATTAAAGTTCGACTTATTACCTGCACCTAGGTAGGTTATACTAATGTTTTTACCGATCAATTTTTAAATCATTTATTTATTAAATGATGACGAGAGAACAAAACCACAAATAAAGAGACTACAAGAAACAATACTTGATATATTAACATCGGAAGTTACAAAAACAATGAATACGGCAAAGCCACGAAAAGCCTCAGGTCCAGATGAAATATACGTAGAGATGATAAAGCTTATCAAGTCGTTAACAATATTATTTAACAACATATATACCACTGGAATCTTCCCAGAAGTCTGGCTTAGATCGACATTTATACCTATACCCAAGAAAAATAAAGCAAATAGATGCTCACAATTCAGATTAATTAACCTGATGAGCCATTTTCTGAAAATGTTACTCAAAATTTTACACTAACGAATATACAGAGAATGCGAAAGAAACCTGAGCGACAATGAATTTGGATTTCGAATGAGGCTTGGTACAAGAGAGGCATTATTTGGCCTCCAGATATTACTACAAAATGCCGAGATCAGCGAAAAGACGTTCTCTGTTTTATCGACTACGAAAAAGCGTTGTTCGAGTAAAACACACAGAACTCATAAAAACCCTAACACAATATGGTGTAGACCATAATACTGTAGCACTTATTAAAAAACTATATTAGGATCAAATGGCGTCTATCAAAATTGACAATCGTCTGACAGCAGAATTGCCAATAAAAAGAGGAGTTCGTCAGGGCTGTGTACTTTCTCCACTGTTATTTATTATATATTCCGAAAAGATCTTTCAAAATGCCTTCGAAAATATTGAAGAAGGAATAAAAATCAACGGAGAATACGTAGTCAAGTCAAGTCAAGTCAAATTTATTGATCACATGCGACATTATACAAAGTACATGTATGAGACAAGTCAAAAATACAGATATAAATCTTAAAATTATATAAATTAATTAAACACGATAAAACATACTTAAAAATTATTTTTAGAGTATGGCTCTAGCTCACAAATGTATTGATGTACACACCTCCGAAAGTTTGGCTGATGTAAATTCATTCGTATATTTATTGGTAATTTGTTAAAGAAACTTATGGCTGCATAATGTGTGCTACCTTCCAACAAAACAGAACGATGTTGTGGAAGCATAAAGTGATTGTCTCTGAATCTTGTTGAATAAACATGGTTAAATTGAAATTTATTAAATTCATAAATTTTGCTATGCAAATACATTATACACGAAAATATATACAGACCAGGAATTGTCAAAATATTGTTTTGTCTAAAGATGCCTCTACAAGAATCTCTAAATTTCATTTTATACATTATCCTAATAGCTCTTTTCTGAAGTACGAATATCTGCTCTAATTCAGAGGTACAACCCCAGACTTCAATGCCATATTTGGCTATTGAGTAAAAATGGGCAAACTATACTGTTTTTAATATTGATGTATGAACGTAAACAACAACTTATGATACGCAGACGACACCGCCATTATTGCGGACAAGGCTGAGGGTTTACAACAACTTTTGAATGTCATAACCAGAGAGGAAAATAGCTTGGGACTAAATATAAATACAAATAAAACAAAAGTTATGGCTGTTACACGTGCACCAAATTTCGACATGAATATTCGTATCTATAACAAACATATAGAACCAGTACAAAGATTCCAGTATCTTGGTTGCTGGATAACAAACGATCTTGACCACGATGTCGAAATAAGTGCTCGTATAGAATATGCTAGGTCCGCATTTCAACGAATGAAAAAATTTCTAATAAACTCTACGTTATCGTTGGACATCCGATACCAATTTGTAAAAACGTTTATTTATTCCATATTGCTATACGGAGTGGAAACCTGGACTCTAGGAATTAGAAGTATGAGGCGTATAGAAGCCTTTGAGATGTGGGTTTTTCGAAGGATGCTGAAGATCTCTTGGACAGAGCACATGACCAACAACGAGGTGCTAAGAAGAATGGGTACTAAGAGAGAACTCCTAAATATTGTAAAAAACAGAAAAACGACTTATCTAGGACATATTTACAGACGAGAAAAATACAACTTCCTACGACTTATAATGAAAGGGAAAGTGGAAGGAAGAAGAGGTCCAGGAAGAAGAAAATGCTCCTGGTTGAAGAACGTAATAAGAGACTGCACAGGTATGGACACACATTCGATACTAAGAACAGCTCAAGATAAAGAGCAATTTGCTGTAGTTATAGCCAACCTTCAGTAATAGAGAAGGCACCTTAAGAAGAAGAAGATTTATTAAAATATAAACAATCTGATTCTTATAGTAATTATCTGGCATGTCCTCGGGAGGATACCATATGTACAGCATTCTGTGTGGTAATTTGAAGAATGCTAATAGGCGTTCTACTCTCTTATTTTACTCTTCTAAACCCATGAATTTACTATTTTACCATAACCGATTTTGGCGTTAAAGTCGCCCATAACTAGAAGTGTTATGTGGGAGTTATTCCATAAAAATATTTTGATAACTTTATGACCTGCTTTGTCAAAACTTTTTCGACTTCTTTGGTAAATACAAAATTACAACCTAAAGAAGCAACGATTGTGTGATTTCGCTTTAGTCATAGTTGAATTGTAGATCTGGGAATTGTAAAACTTCTTGCAACTTCAAGAGCGCCTCCGACATTTTATTGCATTTTTTGCTGCACTAATTTGCTCATTTCATCGTGCTTCATCACTTTTTCTCTTGAAAACTCGAGGCATCTGAAATATAATAATTTATAAAGAAATACTCTGTGTTATATCAATACAATTTGGGGGTAATAGTGGTTATTATAACCCCAAAATACATATTTATACTGATCGACTCATAATCATTAATCACTTAAATTAGAGCAAGAACTTTTTATACAGTCTTAAACTACGTTAAAAATTTAACAAATAGGTAGCAATTATGCAGCTAAATAAACTTAATTAGGTACATATATCTACATACCTTTAAAAATCTTGCACTAATACATCAACTCCAACAAAATATGATATTTTTAAAAATTCCTTCATTGGCGGCAAAACATAGTCATTATTTTAGGTACAGTTCAAACGAAACACTGTTAGATGGCGTAACAGATATTAAACTCAAAATAATATTAGACCGTAAATGTAAATATTTCATGGCTACAATTACCCCCGTGGCCACCTATCCCCCTTTCCCCTATACATATTCTAAAATATTTATTTACAGTTAACTATATAAATAATAATTAAAATTTTTCAGGCTTTAGACTTAGAGGGTCCACTGTTTACAAAAATCTCGAACATCTTTATACTACTAAAAATGGCTCACATAATGAGGTGGCTCTTTCTGGTTGCTTCAATCGGAGTGTTCGGATATGGAACCTATACGCATTTCAAATCAAGCAAGAAAGTTAAGATTACTCCAGTTCACCAGCGTACAACTAATGATGATAATCCTGTAAAAAGAAATACCAACGAATTGATGAATCAACTTAGAAACGAAGGAAAAAACGGATATACAAACAACATTATGACCGGTCATGAATTCGATAGATACGGATAAAAAATTAAACAAATTATTATACTAATTTTGTGTTACAGTATTTTCATCAATCATTTTGTTTTGTTGAAAGAGTTGTATCACAAAGAAAGTGAGAACTATTTTTTGTACGGAAAATGAATTGTTCAAATATGGTTATGATTTATAAAAAATAACCATATTTATAACGATATTTTTAGTACCACTTAATATCTAATGCAAACAGGTGATATATTCTTTTCAGAATTGTCATCTATGTATATAATATTTCAGTCCTTGACTTAAAAAATATCTGTCGTAAATACAGTAGTTTCGTACAGAATCATTAAGTCTGAAAAGATTCAGAAAAAAATATGCACATTTAGAATAATATCACATAATGTACTTAGTAGGGTAACGGGTATAGTTGTTGGTCACTCAGTGATTGGCCACTTTTACAAAAATACGAAATATTAAGATTTTCGGAAAATATAAGAAAATAAATATATTTGCATTGTACTCTGGCACCATTGATATTTAGGGGAAGGTGAGACGGTGAGGTAAAATGGGATACTTAACGTTTGAGGCTGTATAAAACCGAAACTATGTATTGGAGGCTACTCATATTTTGACACAGTGAAAACTCATTATGTTTGTATCACAAGCAAAAAAAAAGATTTTTTTTTATAAATTCATATAAAAGTTATGTGCAAAAATTTGACACCAATACAATTTCCCATTTTACCCCCACTGTGTGGGTAAAACGGAATACACCGTGGGTGTAAAATGGGATAGGATTTTTCTATGTTATTGTAATTAATTTTCTCTTTTTTTGTTTAATTTTTTTTTATTTTTATGCAAAATACAACTTAAACTCAAAAATTCAAAAGGAACGAAAAAGAGCAATTAACTAAATAAGAAATAACGATGGGTTAAACCCAAAAAACCCAATATTAATAGAAATAATATTACCGAACATTTTGCTTAAATATTAACAGGAATAATAATGCCAAATATTTTTCTTAACTAAATCATATCTGCAATATTTGCAAATAAATACATCATCATCGCTGTCAGCTCCTGGCTCATGTTCCCATATTTTACAATTACAGCATTGTATCCAGCCTTCTCCTTTTTTGTCTGAAGAAAGACAAAATTCTATTGTTGCAATAGAAGCATTCCTCATCTGCACTACTGACACTTTCATCTTTAGGTTGTATGTTTTTAACCTTCTTGGAAGTATTTTCTTTTTTTTTACGGTTTTCTGCTTTAGTGACTTGGTCTTTGAGTTAACATTTTTAAGATTATATTTTGGTTTTCTGGTATCTAGAGATGGCTCCAATTCTTCTTATAAGGGGTGCTTGTTAATATGACAGTTTTACCTTTATTTTACGGTGCTTTTGGATAGGGAACAACGGAGAAAATAGACCTAAACCAGTGCTTGTTGAGGGCATGTCCATAAGCAAATTTTTAGAAGATTCATTATTTTGTCTTTATAGGGTAACTTGTTCTTCCATAGGCTGGTCATTTTTGGATTGACTTTTTTCGGGGCTGGATATGTTTTCTTCAATATTTGGCTCATGATCAGTAGGCAAAGCTGCATCTCTTCGGTAAAAACAGTACGATTTAGTGGAAAAATTCCTGTTTTTTGGAAACCATTAATGGCATTTAATAGAGTTTATGCTCGTAGGTAAGCTTTTCTAAATAGGTGAGGCACCTCTGAGATAGTTATACATCGCCTTGGATGATGTCTCAGCCACACTTCTATTTCTTGCGTATAAAATGTACTTAACGGATACATTAAGGAAACATCCAATGGCTGCATCCTATGGCTCGTATGAGGAGGCAGAAAAGATTAAGAGAGATGGGTTTTCTTTTGATGATTGAGTGTGATGAAGAAAATGGTCAAACCATTGTTCAAACAAATTAAGCTGCATCCAACCAGATTTATCAGTAACGACTAAGGTTCCTGGCGGTGCACCCTCTGAGAACTGAGGCTTCGTACGAACTCTGGGAATTATAATTATAGGAAGAACAAATATTCCATTGGCGCTCATGCAGATTATAGCAGTAGAAAGCTCCCCTCGTTCTGCAGATGTTAGGGCGCCGACCTGTTTTCTATCCTTGAGAGCAATCACTTTTGATGGACGACCTTAAACTGTTGTAATCCCGGTTTCGTCAACGTTTAAAATACGAGAGGGTGGAAATTTTTTCTTGAAGAGGCTCCAAAATGTCAAAAAATGATGAAACTGCTTCCTTGTTAAAACCTCGAGCACGTGCAGCTGATGTTGCTTCAGGCAAGTGGAGCGAAAGTTTATTCCGTTTCAAAAAAGCGCGAAGTCATTCCCACCTAGCCAACTTTGTGTTTTTATTGAAATGATATTTGATATTGCTTTTTCTGCCATCTAATATGCCAAGCTACGGATGGAACGAGTTGTAAGACCGAACATCATAGTTTCCATATTCTTTGCATATGTTACCAATTGCTGCTCCAACTCTAGAGGAAATGTGGGCAGTCAGCTCCCAAGTAATTTAGAATGACCTGTTGCGGATTTATTTCTTCCTTTGAACGTTCTTTCCAATGTTGATTTTGGAACTCCATATTTTTTGGATGCTTTTAGAAATCCACAAGTTCCTTTTTCTAATGCTTCCAGAGCTTTGGCCATAAATTTTTCACACCATTTTTGACGCTGAGTCTTTCGTTGGTAATTTCTAGGCATCTAAAATAAAAACAATTCTTCTAAGTTTTTTCTTATATTACCGTAAACACGCTTGAATATTTTTTGCTTTAAAAAATCTTTTTTTTTTTTAAATTATGATTTTGACGTAACTATAGAATTTTCACATAAGGGGTAAAACGGGATATCCCATTTTACCCCACCCGATTATTTCTCGTTTTACCCTACATGCTGTTAAAAAAAAACTTACCTTGTATGCTCAATATGAGTTCGTTCACTCAAAAAACTTATTCACATGATGCGCAGGGCACCACACATCATCTGAGTTCAAAAATTATTTCAAAAACTTGTTTAAAACAAAAGTTACAGATTAAAACGTGGAACCCAAAAATTACATCAGGCACCTGTCAAAACACACATTTTGGTCTGAGCATAGTACATACCCCCCTAGTAAGGTAACTCCCATATAACGTTTTGGAAGAGAGTTTCTAGCGCCAAATACGGTCGGGCCGAAACTAATTTCATTTGGCGGCAAATTCAAAACGTAAATTCAGAATTTTAGGCGGCAAATTCAAAAAATATGCTCTGAATTTTAGGCGCCAAAATGCAAAAAGTTTTTAATGGATAAATATAGTCATAAAATAAGAAATAAAAACTTATTCTATGCCAGAAAATATATCCTCTCTGTCCAAAAATATAGTATACACCTACATATTTATAATATATATATATATATATTATATATATATATATATATATATATATATATATATATATATAAATGTATAACATAATATCTGATACAGAGAGAGTATATATTATGGTACAAGAAAGTTTTTATTTAATATTTTATGATATCTGTTTTCCATTACATTAACAAACCAAAGTCCCAAAAATAACAAAATAAAACACAAACATCCTGACACTTGTTTATTTGTATAATTTTCTTTGGTAAAGTATTGGCAACATATTCTCCTCCTCCCCCTTACTTAAGCCCTTGTTAAGGTGTGGGTGGAGACACTCTAAATATTGTTAACTTGCTGTCTCCATTGGCTGCAATTCTGTACCAGATGAACAACTTCGTGAAGGGATTTTTCCACCAATCTTCATTTAATCTTCCCATCATGTTGTGAGATCGTCATTTTGATATACAAATATAGATACCTCTATATTTATTAGCAATGGTTTGTAGTAAGTTCCATACCTTCTAAAATACTTTTCCTTAAAGTACCATATGTAGATAATAAAGTGTAAACCCTAGCATGTCTGCGATCTTGCTCTTCACAATGATCACAAATTGGCATGTGACTCAATGTAACTGTTACTCAGAAGTAGAAGATCCATGAAAATCTAAAATAACGAAATATTATTAAAATTAAGAATGTATTGACTTTTTTATAAAATAAGGCCAATTTTAGGAATGCAATTAAAAGAGTCATAAGAGTTTTTTTTATAAAATAAGGCAATGTTTAGGAATGCAGTGATAAGAGTTAAGAGTTTTAATGAGTTTAAAATCTATACAGTATATAAATATAAGATTAATGTTAGTTAAGATTTAAAGGTAAATTAACTACAAAAACAAAATAGTATCAAGTTTGTATTTACTAAAAGTTTGGTATAATTAGGTGCTGTTCTTACCTGGTGCTTGTAAAAATAAACTCCTAATCCTCAGAATGTTTAATAGCCGTTTGTCCAATAACTTTCACCCACCAACAAAAAATATTCTTTGGAAATACTATACCATTTTGGTAATGTACCTTCTTCTTTAGCAGGTCTATTAGATATATAAAATTTGATGTATACTGTTTTTATCGTCTATTTCTAAAATTTGGGATACGACTATTGTAAACAGTGTGGTGTAGAATTGTTTATTTTCCTCATAATAAATGTCAACCATTATGAAAACAAGTCCATTTCATTTTTTGGGTTTGGAAAACGAAATCGACTGTTTGTGTAGTCGGTGCAACCATGAACATAACATTTTTTTACCTTTTATTCTATTTTGTTCCATTTCAACGATGGTAAAACACAATTTTTACAATTAAGATGATAATAACCAAAACCAATTAACCAAACACAAATCTGAATTTGCAATATGGCGTCCCAATCTAAATTAAATTTCGCCACAGCACATGCGTCTCCACCTCCCACCTAACGTGACTAGTAGCGCCGCCGCCATTAAGAACGGATGGGCCCATGCAAAACACTATCCCCTCCCGTCCTATTCTACTTACACTACTATGGGGTATGTATTGTGGGTCTGAGTACGAGATCGGGTGTTTGAACTACGGCACGTTCGAACTACAAGCTAGGGCGCATTAGACGAATGTTGTAAGTATTTTTCGCCGCGGCTGACGTCATTAGTAGGCCGCTAGAGGCACTATCTCGTTTTACCCAAGTATCTCATGTTACCTCATCTTCACCTATTTTGTCTAACGGTTAACTGTCTTGATTACGATTATCTTGTTGTTACGGCGAGTGTTGTCTTAAACTTAACATACAGTACTTCTATTAAATGATTTTTGTTTTTAGAATAAAAAATGCCAAATATTCGGAAAGATAAAACTTAGCATAAAAAATATACAAAACATGATCTTCAGTCTCCTTTTCATGACTTAGAAAAGTGTTTCTCCGACAAAACAAACAAAAAAACAAAATTTGAAAAGTTGAAACAATGGGGTACCCATGCTTGTACTTCTGGAAATATCTTACCTCGTTGTTTTACTAAAATGCAGCGGATGGATGACCCGTATTCTAAAGGTCGATTCAGACACATCAGTTCCGTCACAGTCTCGGCGCCAAACCGTTCCTGTTTGGTCACAGAACTATTAATTATCTGACAGCTGTGAAACTGTTCGTCGCCTGATGAATGTGAATGCCGGCGTCATATTTCTATTAAAGAATATTTTGTATGACGGATTGTTCGGTTTGGCGCCAGGATTGTGACAAGACGTGACTGATGTGTCTGAATCGACCTTTTCTCGGCTTACGACAGACTGAATTTATGTACATAAAGTGACGACACACATAAACCACTCATGCGCATGTCACATTGCAATGAATGACTCTCTGGCATTCTGAGACCCAACAGTGCAGTTCCAGGGTTAATAATTAGCCTAATGTGAATTTTTCAGGCAAGAATTTACCAGATGCTTGATACTAGTAGCTTGATCGATTACGTTTGGGGTTGAAGGGTTCTTTCATAACTCAAAAAATTACTTCCAGCAAAACTCTTTTTTTATTATTTTTTAAAATATATTAAAGCGTGGACCAAATGTCTTTTATAAATTAAATTGACAGCTTTATCTAGCATTAAAGTGCACCCAACAATAAAGTAAATGTGATCATCCTAAAAATGATGCACATAGTTGTCAAATGCACAAATGATGTCACAAAGTATGTAGATGTTAATCTGTAAATATGACTATATTGAAAAGGATTCTGATAAGCAGTCCAGTTTATTAGAGGAGTGATATCTAGTATTTATAGGAAAATAAGTTGTAAAAAATAAAAGTGAACAAATAAATGTCAAACATTTATTTCACATTTCGGCTTGTTAAAGACAAGAAGCAGTTTTTAAAGTAAAATTTTTTAAGTAAAAGAACTGTTTTCTTTTCTGTTAGGTAGATAAAAGCAAAAGTAGAAATGGATTTGGTATGGATAATTGCTTAGAGAAAAATAGAAACACACATTCATATTCATATGATATTCATTAATCTTAGAAAAACATATGATAGAAGTACCCCGACTATGTGAAAATTCTAAAAGATATGTATGATGGAATGACAATTAGTATTGTTAAAGATGCAGGAGATACTGGTAAATGTCATATGAGTGCATCAAGCTGAGTGGTCAATTCCTATCCGGAATTATATTCTGTTAACTTTCAACCATCATGTGTGCATTCAGCACATAAGTTTAAAACTCATTGTTATTTTCGATGTTTCCTAGAATAAAATACACAATGATGATAACGTACAACACAGAATAATTTTATAGTTATTGTAACGTAAAATTAAACATTTCATAATTTAAGGCCGTATGACACTATGCATTTTCTTGTATCATTTCTTATATCGTTTCTGATATAACAAAAAAATGGATAGTGTCATACAAGCGTGTAGTTTCTTATATCAGAAACAATACAAGAATTTGTGTCCGCTGCATTTTCTTGTACAAGAAATGCGCAAAGCTGCAAAAACGTAAAACTTCTGTCATATTGGGCTGGAGGAGAACTTTGATATACAATTAGACCAAGCAGACATCAGAGAAAAGTGCCCACCAACAATAACCAAGATTAGAACATCAGTAGCCAAATTGAAAAATAATAAATCACAGGGACAAGGATTGGATCAAATAGCATCGGAACTACTGAAAATAGGAGGAGATGTTTTATTAACAACAATACATAACCGCTCTAACAATTAGTGATGAGTTTAAAGATTATTTTATATCTCCAAATAAGAGAGTAGAATTTCAAGAGCATGCCATTCAAACACATAATTAAAAAAAAAAACAAATAAATTATTACAACCAAATTATTATTTCTGTCTTCCATTAGAGCCTGTTGAATATCTTCAAAAATTGTGGTTTCCAATTTAGTTTTAATATTGGGACATTTTATTTCTTTAATTTTTGCACTACAGTATTTTAAAAAATAATCAGTAGCATATGTCCTCAGTCCCCAGTAGCTTGGGATCCTCAGGTACTGCAGTTCTATTTTTATAGGTGCCAAAATTTCGACCAATCATGTGGCAAATCACATACAATTTCTGATAAAAGAAATTGCATAGTGTCATACAGGGCAAAAATGTATGTGCAAGAAACGATACAAGAAATTATAAATAACTTTCTATATCAGAGACGATATAAGAAATGATACAAGAAAATGCATAGTGTCATACGGCCTTTATAGTACCGCAAAAGTGTCCGGGTGCCACCTTGGGAAAAAATGAAGAAATATTTTTAGATTTATCACTAGACCAAAAATTGTTACCATATAATTTAATTTATAATTAATTTACTGTCAAAATTAACGCGCTAAAAAGCTTATTAGTATTATTTGAAATAATTTTTAAATTTGAAATAATTAAATCGTTAAATGGTAATCTAGCTACAGAAATAACAACTACACTACAGCTACACAAAACGACAGCTCCAGAAACAACAGAAAGCTTATTTTGTTCTTATAAACTAAGAATAATTTGGTTATCACCAAATGTACACTAATGAATCTGATAAAAAACGAAGAGCAGAAGAGTGTTACTATAGATAAAGTATAGCCAAAATATTTTATGTTGTTGATCAATAATATTTTCAATAGTAATTTATTTCCAGGCTGGCGGATGTTTGATCGACATAGCAAACAAATTTGTTGAAGTGAAAATGTGAATTTCTACATAAAAATGTCAGTTTTATGTTAAATAGGAGAATATACCATATAAAACGATTAACGACTTATTCCTTAGCATTACTCAAACCATATTAATCATCCCTGAAAATTAGAGAGAATATATCTCTGAAAAAAAATTAAAATAAATTTAAATGTATGTCAAAGTGTTTGATGAACGCGGTAATTTTGTCCTTCAAGAGTGTTACAACCTAGTTTACATATTATATATATATATATATTATATATATATATATATATATATATATATATATATATAATATATAATATATATATAATATATATATATATTTTATATATATATTATATATATATATATATATATATTATATATATATATATATATATATATATATATATATTATATATATAAATATGTACTTACAGACGTAGAACTATTCACAAAAAGATAGACATGAATAACATTAGTTTGACAATTAGACTGACAATTTTCTAAATAACTTAATATACACATAAAACAACAAAAAGTGTATAGTGGATTAGACGATTTTTCTGAAATTTTTTAAATATAAAAGTAAGGTAGCAGTTACATCGTAAATTAATATTGATTTAAATAAATTGCAGAATATTGCTGTAGATGCTGCTTAGCTGATTCGTATCTGTTTTGTAATTTATTACATTTTGTGTTTTAGTAATATAACAGATTTCCAGAAACAGCCTGTTTTTATAATGAGTTGATGTTTGTAGGATTTTAACATTCGTATAGTCAAATTTGTGACCTGTATTGATGGATTGTTAGACAACAGCGCATGTGTTTTTACCTTTACGGCAGTCACTTTTGTGCTGTGTAATACGTTGTTTCAACCATTGTATTTTATAGATTGTATTGGTAGTATACATTTTTGGTGTTTTATCTTTGATACGAGAAAATAGACTTTTGTTACTAATATCACTGTATTTAGCAATTTTGATGTTATTGTATGGTTTGAAGAGGGCTGTAATCTTATTTGTTAGATTATTAACGAAGGGCAATCTTTTATTACCCAGCACAAAAGTGGCTGCCGTAAAGGTAAAAAAACATGCGCTGTTGTCGAACACTCCATCAATACAGGTCACAAATTTGACTATACGAATGTTAAAATCCTACAAACATCAACTAATTATAAAAACAGGCTGTTTCTGGAAATGTGTTATATTACTAAAACACAGAATGTAATAAATTTCAAAACAGATACAAATCAGCTAAGCAGCATCTACAGCAATATTCTGCAATTTATTTGAATCAATATTAATTTACGATATACCTGCTACCTTATTTTTTATATAAAAAAAAAATTTCAGAAAAATCGTCTAATCCACTATACACTTTTTGCTGTTTTATGTGTATATTAACTTATTTAGAAAATTGTCAGTCTAATTGTTAAAGTGTCACTTTTTTTTGTGAACAGTTCTACCCCTGTAAGTACATATTTATGTAATTTTATCGTAATGTTGCTTATCTCTTTGTTTTAATAAATTTGTAGAGCACTTCTGATGAAGCCAATAATCAATTGGCGAAATATTAGGTAACTAAAAAACAGAATTGTTTTAATTCCAGACCGATAGAACCTGACATATATCCAACAAAATATTTTAAATAATATACGATCGATACTAAACAAAAAATTGTATATATACTAAGCGACATAGAAAGCCAAACACCCAGTTTAAATGATTTTATTTCAATAAAATTTGGTGTAATTTATTTATCTTACTGAAAAAAACAAGTGATAAAGTTTTTAGCCTTATCAGTTGGAGATTCCGGTTTTTATACTTTTTGTTTTTAAATTTACTAACAATCTAAAAATGAATATTTCATCCGCAGTAAAGATCCAAATTTGGAGGAATGTGGTTCTTGACATTCTTTACAATTGGTTACGATGCCTAGCGTACGGAGACCTGTACGATTTCGTCAACTTATTAAGTTTGATAGGGGCCGTATAATGGGACTTCGGGAAGCTAGACTTTCTTTTCGGAAAGTTGCAGTTAGAGTGCAAATAAGTGTAGACACCGTGGTTAGGTGTTGTCAGGCATGGCTTCAAGAAGGCCGTACGCAAAGAGCAAGGGGCACTGGACGCCGCCGTAGAACAACAGACCGTGAAGATCGCCGCCGTTGAACAACAGACCGTGAAGATCACCGCCCAAGATTATTGGCCTTAAGAGACCGTTTCTAAACTACCAGCTTCATTGCAAATGAATGGTTTGCAGAACACGGAAGACCTATTGGCATGCGAAGTGTTTACCGACAAATGAGAAGTATTGGCCTGTTTTTATACCGACCATACTGGGTCCTCCCTTTAACTCCAGAACACCTCCGTAATTACCTTCAGTGGTGCAGATAACAGTCACTCTGGTATCAGGAATGGAAGAGTATTGTCTTTAGTGACGAGTCTCGATTTTGTTTAGGCATGCACGATGGTCGAGTGAGGGTTAGAAGGCGACGTGGTGAAAGGAGCAAGTTTTTTTTTTGAACAACATGTTCACCACACTGTTGGAGTTATGGTTTAGGATGCTATAGCTTAGGGTTCCATGTCACCTTTAATCTTTATCAGGGGTAACATGAACGCGCAGCGTTATATCCAAATAGTTCTAGAACCCCACCTTTTACCCCATCTTGACACCCTGGCAAATCTAACTTTCCAACAAGATAATGCCCGACCACATGTTGCAAGAGTCACAATAGACTTCATTCAACATAATGATGTCTCATTGTTAGCATGGCCACCAAGATCTCCGACTTATCCCCAATTGAGCACATGTGGGATATGATGGGTAGGAGATTGCTCAATTTGCAACGTCCTCCTCAGACTCTACAAGCACTTCGAGAAGAATTGGTGGTTGCCTGGAATGAGATACCACAAGAGGACATTGACCACCTGATCAGAAGCATGCCTACACGCGTTGAAGAATGCCTAACACATCGGGGTGCATCCGCACATTATTAAAGGTAAAAGGGCTTTAAAGCAATGCCATCATTCTCAAATTTTAATCATTTACTTATTATGCTTCATTAAGTACTTACACAAAATTTTAATAAGATAAAATCATTTAAAGTGGGTGTTCGTATTTCTATTTTCTATGTCACTTAGTGTATGTATATATATATATATATATATATATATATATATATATATATATATATATATTATATATATATATGTATATTATATATATATATATTATATATATATATATATATATATATATATATATAATTCTTTGAAGGGTAACTTTCGGAAAAGCGTCAAAGCAAGGATCAGCTAGAGATGGTATAAGCCAGTTTGGTGTAGAACTTTATTCTAAATGTGAAATTTTCGGTGATATGTTGTCACCTTCATCAGCACCTAAATGGAAAACCTATTTTAGTACAAGTGGTGGAAATCAACATTTAAAAACCTACATTGAAAATGTTCAGTTGGTCCTAGTGGTGAAGAACACTGTCACAAACATGTTAAAAATATTAAAAAATACATTTAAAACTTTGAATAAAAACATTACAACACAACAGGGTATTTTTTCAAATACAAACACAACAAAAAAATCTAAAATTTAAAACCTACAAAAACTGCAACTTCATGTTAAACGTAGACAAGAAGAATTATTCTTCTTTTTTGATGACATATTTCTGATTTCTGTCAATATCCGGGTGTCATATGTAACGAGGTTATAATTTTCACGTTTGCACCTCATGGACATGGAAAGAAAGAACCCCAGGAATCATAATCGGTAGGCAAATGAAGTCTTTTCTCAAGTACAGCTAGGTAATCTATGCATGTTATGATAAGTTCCCTACATTTTCCAGTTTGTTACATCTTGTCAAGTCCTGTTGAAGTAGAAAGGAATAAATACAACTTAAGTTTTCAACATCTTTCTTACAGTTCATAGAAGAGCTGCAGTTATGGATGTAGCACATTTCTATGAAGTGTCTCTTAAATTGGTTGTCAACCCTCTTTAGTACTTGCACATTTTCATAGTTAGCAATGTGTCCAGTATTCTTAATATGTTGGCTAAAGGCTCTGGTGTAAGACAATCTTCCATAGAAAACTTCTACTGTTTCTCCTTCTTTTGTTTGTCGTTGGTGTGTTCTAACTGTTAGCATATCTTGGAATAGCAGTCTATTAAGAAGCATCTTAGGGTAGTGATTTTTTCTAAGGATCTCATACAATAACTTGATGTTCTTATTGTAGTTAGAAGGGTGACAAATTCTTTTCATTCTGTTTTTTAGACCTTTGATAATGTTAATCTTCTGCTCGTCTGGATGATACAAGTGAAAAGGCACATATCTACCTGAGAATCTTTTCTTTCTGTACCAATCCAACCTTACTGTGTTGTCCTCATGTCTGGTTACATAGGTGTCGAGGAATGGAACACTATTATTTTTTTCTGTTTCAACAGTGAATTGTAGGTGAGTGTTATATGAGTTGAAAATGTCAAGAGTGTAGTTGATTTTGTCTGCAGGGACTGCACATATGAGGTCGTCTACATATTGGTAAATGAAGGGGAACTGGAAATCAACTTCTTGAGTACAGTAGTGAAATAGGGAGTTCATTACAATTTCTGCCAAAGTTGGGGATATAGCTCCACCCATGGGTGCTCCTTTTATTTGGACATAGAATTCATTTTGAAAAGTGAAGTATGTATTGTTGTATAAAAAGGTAATCAGTTTCAGGAACAAAACTTTGGGAATTGTACAGTTCTGTTTAATAAGATGGTAATTAGTTGTCAAATAGAAACTACCAGTTCAAGAGGGATGTTGGTAAACAAGGAAGTAACATCAAAACTCATTCATACTTGAACATACAGAAAATAAAAATACAAAAAAAATAGCATACTTAAGAAATCTTGTAACAAAGAGGATTCTAAACATCACTAATAATGAAACTAACACAAAAATCAGAAATTTACAGATAAACATAGATAAATCAATAGAGTATCTTAATAGCAAACTCTCTTACAACATGATGTCTGATTTCCTGAGACTACAGGACAAAAGATATAAAAGAATATTCAACTGTATAAAAAGAAGAAACATTTCAAAAC